GTGATAGGAATAAAAGAAAAGGAAAGAGGGATTAAAGAAGGTACAGAAGGAAAAGGAATAAACGAAAATAGGCGAACATTTTATATGAGAAGTAAGATTGGCAAATCGATGAGAGGCAAGGAAGGTGAATGGTTGAATTTACTTTAGCCAATTAGAGGCATAAAAGTTGCTCGAAAAAACTGACTTGGTTTCTATAAAATAATGATTGAGAGAGCAAGAGAAGTTAAGAGGGGCATCTCACTGAAATGTTTATAATATGGAGGATGTAAGTAAACTAAATGCAACCAAAGAAAACTAAGAATGATGTTAGCTGTGACGTTGAAAGTTAATATTGCAAACTGCCCTTATAAATATTTTCTTTCTAGACAATGTGTTAAATGAGAAGATAAGATTAAAATATTTCAGCAAAAGAGTAAAGAAAATAATTGCATAAGATCTTTTATAGCAAATTACCATTCAGAACACATTGGATTGAATAAAGAGTCACTTCGAAATATAATAAGGAGTATGTTGCCTTTTTAGAACTCCGAGAGCAGAATAGCAACCAAACATTATTAAAGATTTGTCCATCTTTTAAGTCGGCCTATTCTCTAATGATACGAATATTTTTATCTCGAGTAATGCCACAACCATATGACACAATTGAGTCTATATGAAGGTCAGAATATCCTTAATCCCTCTTTGCAAGACTAGTTTTATGCATTTGATGAGATGATGATAAATTATTCAACGTATATACCTTTTCGTTTAAGGTAGCACTTGCGGCATCGCTTTGTTCGAAGGCATTAACACTAAAACATTTTTTTCCATATGTCCTATAGCTATATAATTTACTGTGTTGCAAGACCTTAGGTATACATCCGTTATCTCATTAACTACAGGACAATTAGTATTACTTATATATCACTATAAATCAGGTCAGCTTATTTGAGTGAGAATAAGTTGCTAAAATTCGAGAGTAACACTAGCTTTAGTTTTTAACTATATTCTTGCTTATAAGTCTGGTTCTGAAATATTCTCCTTACTTTCTACAACATTTCTTAATGAGAATAATAATTGACAAATAAATACCTAGGATAAAAGTTCTAAATTTCTTAAGATACCTATTTTCAAAAGGAACTATGTGAAGTACGAAGTCTCATCTGCTCATATGACAGATTCATTTAAACAATTCTTTTGGATATAGTGAGCATTAGCTTAATAAAAAGCCTTTGTAGGCAAATTAACTCTTCTAGACTAATATTAATTTATATTATGAAAAACACTTTCAACAAATTAATTGCATCTCCAAAATAATCAATAATAATGCATGTTAAGCAAGAAACCTGATTTCGCGTGGCCAATCGAAACATCCCATTTTAAAAACTTTTATCAGTCCTCCTATTTAAATATAGTATGTTTTAAAATCACTATATTAATAATGCTCAATCAATTTTTAAGTTTCAGGAGCTTCAATAGAAGCAAATATTTTTTATCTCTTTTCTTAATAGACATGAAATCAGTCAATTACACTACTCCATATATGCAAAATATTAAATCTTCGAAATCTTTTTCATATATCATTATTTATATGCAGTAAAACCGTGATCCCAATAACTTTACAAAATATGAGCTGACCTCATGAAGCAGCCAACTGCTATGCAGATGACAGCCACAATACCCAGTCCAACGATCACTGAGACAATAGAAACAGTAAATAAATCGGCTTCTGCTCGACTGGGACTGATCAAGCGCCCATGGCTCTGACGCTTGAGGTCCTCCAAATTTTTAGGTTGTTCTTTTCCATTGGCATCAATAGAAGGAGGCAGATCGGGCATTTTGCCATTTAGCTGTATATGTAATCGTTCATCTGGTCGGAAAGCAGAGGACCATTTACTAGCCGTGCATAGCTCTGGAATCAGACTGTCATCAGGTATCTCAGCATCTTGACCGGCTCCATTTCCGTTGCCCTCACCCTCCCCTGTTTCAAACAGAAAGTATGGCAAAGTTGAGGAAAGATCCTGCGTCTTTTCCGTTTCATGTACAGCAAGATAAGCTGGGGAGGTAGGTGGCGTTGATATGGGTAAATAAAATCCATTTGTGTCTATTATATCTGACCTAGGAGGAGAATCAATATTTAGTAGAACATTAAAATCGTTGTACGGATTAATCAGCGAGCTGGTGGCCTCGGTGGGTGACAGTTCAGACGCCAAAGAAGAGGTAATTAGACGTGGTAGGCGGTTTGGGTGGATGCAAGCCAGTAGAAGAGCCTACCAAAGAAGAATCATTTTATTATGCCAAGAGAAGATAACATAAAAATATGTAAATTAAATATTACTATATACATAATGCCCATAGTTTGATAGTAAATAGTATTTCAAAAAAGGATAGCATAAAGTCAGGGACAAATTTCAAGTTAAGCGAGTTCTAACTTTGAGACCCTCGTTTTTCCAGCTGCTTTCAAGCGATGGAATTTTGTACCTTATTGTTGAGGTAAGTCGAATTCAAAGTCCATTAGATGGTTGTTTTTACTGACCATTTTTATATCCATTCGTTCTAGGTTATGAAGAGCTAGTAGTTATTACATATTTTTTTATAGCGTCTTCTTAACTTGGACTTTTATATAGGAATGAGCGGTAAAACGAAATAAAAA